TCAAACTCCTGGAGTGAGTGATTCCGAGGTCTATCACAGTGTTGAGTGTCTGCAATGCGGTGTCACCAAAACCTAGTGTTGCATCTAAATGGGATTTATGGAAATGGGGGATGCCACTTTTAATTGGGTTTACAGTGAGCTGCCTGGTCACGCTCCATGAGAACATTCTCCTCGGATCACTTTGTATTTGAGAGAAACCTTGCGCTGGTGCTGTACAGGAACAGCTGTAGACTATCTTCATTTCGTCGAAAAAAAGGTGAGGTATGCCATTCCGGATAACACTGCAGATATCGTTTACGGAGATCAGGAAAAGTAACGGTCTTAGCATACTACCCCGGATGACATCACTTTACATGGGTCTAGGGGAGGAGTAGCAATTACTGAATTTTACTACTTGGAAGCGACCCTCTAAAGATTTTCTAAGCCAGGACAGTAACGGGTCCTGGAAACCATATGACTGCAACTTACTGACCAGGCGTATGTTAGGCACCTTATCGAATGGTTGCTCGAAGTTTAAGAAAAGGGTAGTTACAAATAGGCCTTAGTCACACTTTTTTATAATATCGTTTAGATAGTCTAGATAGCTGGTAGCGCAAGACTGGCCTTTCAAGAATCCGTGTCGTTTAGAAGACAATAATTAGTTTGCCACCCTGTGGTCGACAACTTCGTTCACAACCACCTTTTCCATAGCCCTGGATACTACCGACGTGGTGTTTATAGGTCGGTAGTTTTGTATGTTGGATGTTGGTCCATATTTATACTTGGATTATGTGTGTGACAGCTTCCAGTTGCCGGGTTAATTAGGATCACACAGAGACATATTAAAGAGCTTCAAGAGGATCAGTATGTATGTCTTTGCCACCTCGTGTTAGCAAGATTGAAATTCCATCAGGTCCAGCACTGTATGAAGTTCGAAGTGCTGCTGTAATTAGGGAAATGTTTTGTTGCGAGAAGCGCACAGTAATCACCGAGTGAACTGATGTTGACGGCGTACCACTGACTTTTGTTTTGTCCTCATGCGTAAAGCAGCTAGCAAACCTATGACTGAACAGCTGTCAGATTTGTAGTGGGTCTTCGTTGAGGATCCTGTTGTTCATGAATAAACTACGACCACCATTTCTGGAGCTGCTCGTTCGGGTTTTCAGTTTTGCTGCATTGAATGCGCTCTTATTTAGCGGCTTCTAGTACCCCTTCTACCTTAAACGTGTCGTACGTGTCTTCGGGCGTGGTAAACGACGAAAAGTCATTCGACTTATGGCACTCTTTGGTGGTTGCGTACTTTCGTAGGTATAAAGTCAACCCTGGTTTTCTTAATTTCCCTTTGGAACGGGGCAGCAGTATAGTCTTCAGCTTTGCCTGTATATTCATAAAATAGATCACAGAGTTCTTTGACCGAACTGCCGATAAAGTAGGGGCTGCAATCTAGGCGGCGCAGAAACAACCGTAGTTCGTCCCACTTAGCATACCTATAATTTTTAGATAGAACTATCCCTGTCTTTTGGGTTGTTCTTGTGCTAGATATGTTGAGGTATCCACATGCAATCTTGTGATCGCCACCTGGAAATTGTGTACCTTCTTGGAGTTTTGTGGGTGTGTTTCCGCTTGTGAAGACGGGGTTCAGGACACTATTGTACCTGGTGGGGTGTTCCGCATGTTGTTGCCAACCCTTTGTTGTAAGAATGCTTACAAATTTACCAAAGCATTTCGGATAGCCGATTGGTTGCCACGTTATATCTGGCATGTTAAAGTCACCACATGTAATTTTCTCTGTGTGTGGTAGTGACGCTACACGTGGGAAACACGGTTATTAGCCTCTGTCGTCGTATTCGACTGAGAGGCGAAGGGGTCGGTTAGTGCATCCTATTAAGACAGATGTGGGGTGAGTAAGTTTGGCGATAACCCATACTGAGTCGTCAATCTCGTTTAGCTCGAGGGCTGAGCACTGAGTAACGGGGATGTCAGACTTTATGTAGATAATGCACCCTCTCCTTTTACCATGTAGTCTGTCCCTCCTGAGCAAAGAATAGTTGTCGATGGAGATCTCTGCGTCATAAATATCAGAGGTACATCATGCTTTATTTCCACAGACGGATCACGAACCAGAGGTAGCGGAATAATCCCTTTCATTCCGTTGCTTGCGGAGCGGGTGTTAATCGGGAAAACGAGGGCGAGCCAAGAGTACAAAAGTGTTTGGACATACCTCTAAAAAGTCAGTGCCTCTGTACATTTCTTGTGGGTCCTTTGTGTGCGTCGCGCTAGCGGTGTTATAACCTCCAGCACAGGGCGACGATTAGGTGCTGTTTGCCCCGGAAGGAGTGAGGTATTCACCATATTATAAGTGGCATAGAGACTGTTGGTCAAAGTAGAGCAGAGATGATCCGACAGCACCGGAATCACTTGCACCACTGGTAGCTTTGTGGCCTTAGGCTGTCCGAAAAATTCCGATCATAGGAATTAACGGGAACCGATAGATTGTATGGCAAGCCTATCTGCTGGCTGCCGTATAAATTACGGTCACGGCAAACATCATATTCACCCAGTTTTTCCTTAGGGGATCTACTGAAAGTTTTTCTTCGAGTAGCATTTGACCCATGTTCTGCGATATATGGGTGGGGTGAAGCTCATAGTCTGTGATTACCATTCGGCTCACTATCTAATAAGAAGCAAGAAGCAAATATATTAAACCCTATGCATGTACAACTACAAACAAAAGTTCAACCATGCCTTATTAAGCTTGTATATTGTATGGAGAAAATCATGTACGACAAAGTCTTATCAATCAACTTTGCAATAGCGAACAGTTGTCATGTCCTTGAAGTCACTAAACATTTCAACAATCATGTTATTCTTCGTCGCATATTGTCAAGCAATATCATTGTTAATATATATTTGAAAAACGTTGTAAAACGAGTGAACTTATGCACTATCACATGCTGAGAATTTTGTACTGTAAACAAAATTATGGTCAGAAATAAGAAAATATATCATCGTCATTGGAGTGTGGCCCGAATTTTTTCAACATCAGTCTGAAGTTCTCAATCACATATGTTTTTTGCGAGTCGTCAGAGCAAGAAATTCGGTGTTGACTGAAATGTGTTCTGAAACTTATGGAAGGGTGAAAATGCCAACGAACACTGATCAGATTTTGGACGTTTTGTTGTAATAATTTTATAGGATAACCCACCCAAACTCTCACTTTTTCGATAAAGTGGTTTGAGCTGACCGATGATCTACGGTTCCCTACTTAGATTTTAAAGAAATTGGATGGCTGATGTATATGTACACATATATTCGCGCTGTGATACTGATTTCAAAGAGTTGTAGCTTCATGGCTGCCGGAGTGCTATAGTCGGGGGAAACCACAGTATCTGTAGAGAAAAAGTGTTGGTTACCACGTTTCGTAAAGCTAAGTGGTTTTGCTGTGATAAACTAGGTCACTAAGTCTTGTTTCACACTCTCAATATTCTCATGGACTTCCGGTTGCCTTGGGATATTGTTCAGCTCTGAATCACTATGAGCTCAGATCACACTTACGAAAAGCAAAGTTGTTCCAAGAGGTACTACTCTTTGTTCATAACTATGGTTTTCGCCTACTGCCGAGTATCTGTTTTTAAGATGCAACTTAGATCGGAAACTGGTAAAAGGAGGAATAACTGACGACATTCCACAAACAGAATTTCAGGAACTGGACGTATCCCCTTTCCACCACACGTTTCAAGAGCACGTTTCTTCAAAATATATATGGTGCTCTCGGCGATGGTTTTAGTGAACCCAGAAACAGCACCTACCACAACAGAAGCTTGCTCAGAAAGTTAGTAGGTACTGTACAAATATTCCAAAATTGAACCTACTTGAACGTGGTTGCAACACAATTAGTTTCCGCATTCCGGTTCGAATGAATGAAGCATGCATTGATAAGAATTCAGTGGTGCTACCTTAGAACAGATTGCTCATGCACCCGAAAATTTATTGTGAAATTTCTGTTAGAGCAATCTATTACTACTGGCCTCGGACAGGAAAGGAAATAAGAGGAAGATGGTAGAAGCGAGTCAACGTATATTCCAAAGACAACGAAGTTACAAAGATTGTATTCATGAGAACTTGGGTATTGCACATAAATAATCCCTTGTCTTGGCATGTGCTAAGGAAAGTGTATAATATGTAGGAAACCATGCAGAGAAACATAATTTAGAAATTTAGGATTTACGGTAAAGGTATTATTGTGGTTGCTACTATTATTATTATTATTAGTCCCTTGGGTTCCTAGTGGAACATAGGGCTTCAGTAGCACGCCTCCAGTGACCTCTGTTCTCTGAGATCTTTTGAACCTGGTTCCACGGCAGCCCACAACCTCTCATTTCCTCCTCACACGACCTCCTCCATGTCACCCTCGGACGTCCAACTCGTCGCTTCCCATGGGGATTCCACTCGAGGGCCTGACGCGTGATGTCCTCAGTCGGCCTTCTCAGTGCATGGCCAATCCATCTCCACTTCTTCCTGCATATTTGTTGCGCGATAGGTTCTTGGTTGGTTCGTTCCCAGAGTTCCTTGTTGCTTATTTTTTCTGGCCATCTGATCTTCAGCAGCAAGCGTAAGCAGTTGTTGATGAATGTCTGTAGTTTATTGGAAATGCCTTTCGTGACGCGCCAAGTCTCTGAGCCATACAAGAGCACTGACTTGACGTTGGTGTTGAAAATCCGTATCTTGTTCCACATGCTGAGTGCAGAAGATCTCCACACTGGTTTCAGGCTAATGAACGCCTGTCTTGCTTTTCCGATTCTGACTTTGACGTCCTCATCCGTCCCGCCTGTAGTTGAAACAGTGATTGTGGTTGCTACAGCGCAACCAAAAACAAAATAAAGGGTTCAAAAACATATATTATAAATATTCACTGTTTATTAGTCGCATGATCTGTCCAAAGGGTAACAAGACCATGAGATTTACCACAACATGATTACGCATTGTACTTTCAACGACATTTCTTTAAGTGCACCATCTCCAGGGGCAATTCGCTACCTGCCCTACCGCTTAGATTTTGGATACGTGCCAGTAGTGGTAATTCTCTTCTTATCATTGCTTTCTTACTAAATAGCGATTTTCGCGATGCAGTTTTGTGTGTTGTAATAAGCAGGTGAATGATGCCTGTTAACTGGTTTTTCTTCTTTACAGATGAATGGGGAAATTGATCTGGTCAGAAATTCGGCCCTTCAAAAGAATTTCATGAAAACCTCATGTAGATCAGCTCTTCAAAATCAAGATCATCTCACTGCATCAGATCTTTCTTTATTCAATGTCGCTGTTTCTCGAATGCCGGAGGCTGTACGGTCTGACCTCGATCATCTTTCTGATATAGGAATCATAAGTGGTAGTGCATCTAACGAAACTGTAGAAAATACTCGGAAGGATCGTGAAATGACTCGAAATCCACCCAACAACTCGGGAATAGTTTTACCACCTGTTTCCTGTCAGGCCTGTCAGGTTTCCACATCTTTAACTGAAGTCAGTGACTCGCTCTCTGTTGCACCTCAAATTGCTAGCTCTGGTTTAAATAACTCAGAAGAATTGAACAGAAACCACTTTCTCTCTTTAATCAAATCAAACTCAGAACACTCTGACAAAAGTACAACATCCGATGTGGTTGATTTTACGAAAACTGCTTGTGGTCATTTTGATGGTCAGTTGCAGCCTGGTGAATCAGAGTATCGAAATAAACTGAGTAAGACGCATAACCTTACATCTATGGCTGATCATTTAACTGATACGACTTGCTTACGTACTAGCAACCCAAGTGCAGATATTCGCTTTCTAAGAGCATCGTTAGAGGCTAATATGAATTCTGACTCGCTTTCAAGAATCCATCAGAGAAATGATACGAAGAGTATTTCAGCAGAACAGGAAGTTATTGACATATCAGGTGAATTCGGATCAAGTAGTTTGTGGAGTCACCAGAATTGTGCTGGCGTCACCTCTACAGACCATGCTTTTTCATTCGTCGATGATACTATGACATCCTTAATATCCAATACAGAGGTAGACCAGGATGGCACGTTGAATGATGGTTATGCTAATAGCATTTGTCAAACCACTGGTCTTAACAATTCTGCTACAGTGGTTACAGCTAAGCGCCCGATCACTGGGGGTCATCAGGCAACACGATATCCTATCGTAAATAAGGGAGGTCTTTGGCCAAATAGTTCTGGCGGGATACCAAACTCTACACTTGGGTATTTGGTTTCCAATGCATGGAGTGCCAACAGTACAAGTGTTTCATCTAAGCTCGGGAATGCTCTTATTACCGATTCAAACCTTTCTGCTACTGATTTCCAGGGGAATGGAGCTAATACATCTTGGTCTCAAAATGCAAACGTCCATCAGACGCTTCAAAAACAAAGCATTCAAAATGTTCCAAATATGGCTGGAGCCATGAGTTTCATGAATGGAATAACAAATGGCACTTCTTTGAATCGAACGCCTGGGTGCTTAAGTCTAGGGTCGATACCGACGACCAATATCGGTATTACTAGTAATAACAATAAGATCAATGATACAGGTCTTTCGAATATATATAGTATGTTCCCTAAGCGTCCTCAACATCGAATGATGGCACATTGGCAACAACAACAACAGCATCATCATCCGACTTCACAGCACCAAGTGCCGATCGGAAAGAGTCTTATGAATATCGCCTCAAGTAATCTACAGCTAAACGGGAGTCGTGGTAGTACATCTGGAGCCGGTTCTAACATTTCACTAATGGCAAATGGTTGTGGAGACAATGGCCTAAGCAGTACTACGGGAGGTTTCAATAGCAATTCCGTCTTACAGTCTCTGAACAATGTTGTACCCTCTTCGTCTGTTAATAGTCCTCTGGTAATTTGTTCATCTGGAGACTCTTATGCGAATACATTGACATTTAATACTTCAACATCGGAAAGTTCACTTGACAGTTTCAAATACGGACTAGATCAACAACTTATGGAAGTTATCAAGTCTTTCGAGATGAGTAGCATCGGAGGTAATAATATGATAACCTCAAATGCAAATAGCACATCTGTGGGAGGAATAGATGACCTGGCGCTTCCAGCTGGCTTTGGAGAGATGGAACAGCAAATACCCCCAATGAACTCTATGAATCAGGTACCTATCTTAGGTCCATCATCGATGCACAACTCTGCGCCTATGATGAGTGGATCGAATAACCACAGTTCAAACTTTGGTGGTCTGTCAGGTTACAACGGTGGTTCCATGCTAAGTTCAATTGGAATGACAAGTCCATACTCAATGTTTGCAAACATTTTTACCCGTGAAGAAGGATATTCGCGGAAAGTATTCGTCGGGGGTCTCCCACCGGATATAGATGAAGGTAAGTTAACGCGTACATAGATTTTTAGCTGTATTTGAATTAACTGTGCACAACCATATGAATACCTATCAAGGCGCTCCCTAGTTAGTTTCATGTCCGGTATCTTGGGTATCAGACATTCAGTAGTTAGTTCTAATCAATATCTTTCTAATAATCTAGTGTTAGTTTTTTTAATCGCATATCCAGTGGGAGTAATTCGTTTCTGGGAAGACGAAGTTGTGCAACAGGTCAGTATTATCAAGAGTCAGATATTCCGCTTCTCACACTATTCGCACACTTTCATCTCTGAAGCACCGATGTTACTCTTTTGTTGGTTTATCATTCACTTATCCAAGCTATGGAGATGGTGGGAACCATTGGTCGCAGACAACATGGCTGAAAGCCGGTGACTGTCAGACGTATTCACTCTTTTGTGTTTTCGAGAGTGTGAATACTTTCAGCAGCCTTCATTTTTCAAATTTGCTTCCATATGAACGGATGACGAGCATCTTTGTTCTATCAATCTTTTCCTGTCCACTGATTCTTTGTATTCTCTTGTGAAATCTGGGAGCCTGAACCGCTGCACTTCTGTTCTACGTTGTTTTCTGCCTATCTGTTCAGACCATCTGTGTCAACAAAACAACTTCAGGAAGTCGTAATTTCTGCACTGGGATTTCAAAATATTCAGGTTTTGTCAGTCTTTTTTTTTACCCAGCATGTATAAAACTGTTGTAACATACATAAAATAGGCAGTACTTTAATGTTGTAGCATTTTGGGTGCAATCGTCACAATAGGTTGACAGTTTAGTTAGATGCTGTTCATTTAGTATTCCATTCTTTCGCATTTGTCACCACTCAAGTACCCTTAGATTATCATCAACCTTTCATATCTTTACCTTTTAATCTTTCTGCACGCTTTTTTAAAATTGTTCTACTTCATCTTCGATTTCTGTCAACTCCGCAGCTCTTGATAACAATCCGTATTCACAATGTAGGTAAGCATCTTAACTACATTTACAGCATATCTGTTAACTAGTCAGGCTGAAGATATATCACTTCTCAGTAACTTCGAACGCTTAATGGACCTAGCATCTAGGTGACTTCTGGGGAGGGTTTTTGATCTGAGCTCATTTATTTGCGAAATAACCAGCCGACTGAGTTGATCATACAGCTTGTGTGGAGTTGTGCTTCAGTTATCTAAGGACTTTATTTTCACTAAAGGGCGCCGCAGATCACCAGCCAGCTCATTAACACTAATACTAGTTCTGACTGTGGTTTCTGAGCTGCATTATATATATGAGGTGAGTGGGGATTTTTAGTGTAGAAGTAGTATTCATCATGGACTGGCATCAGTTGGGGAACCATTGAGAATCTGTGGGGTCAACCAGTCGTAAGTAAAGTGGATGCTAACTGAAGACCTTGGGTGACAGTCGCGCTATGTCGTGAATTGACAGAAGTTGGAAATTGTGAACCACTGGAAACCGACCCACTGGCTGAATTGTTAACGCGTTCGCTGTGAAACCTGACGGTCCTGAGTTCAATCCCCAGCCGGTTCGTGGTTGCGTACTACTGATGAGTCCCATGCCAGGACGAAACAGCTATCCAGTGCTCCCAGATTTCCAATGGTTCCCCAACTGATGTTAGTCCATGAGTACTAATATATATATAGCCACTAAAATTGGAACAGAATTTGAGAAAATACCCCACTTAAGTATTGTAGGCACTGATACCAACAAAGCATATTCTGAATGTGCTGCATGTTTATGAATATATTCATGACATGTAGGCATCCGTGGATAAGAATATATGAATGCACTAACTAAACAGGGTACACTAACCAATTTCAACAGGTTTGTTTCGAAATGCGGCCCTAGTCTTATCAAGTTTGCGATACGATCACTAAGCTAGTCGCCTCAACATTGTAATAAGATATCGCAGTTGATTACCTCAGATCATCCAAAAAGACGTGCAACGACTGTTCATTTTTCTGTTAGTGATGGCTTAGATAGTGAGGTTGGTTCCCATTTGGCAGTCTTTGGTAAATAAATCAGAAGAAAAACTAGGGAATTAGTTTATTGGTGGACTTCTTCCCATGCAACTTTTTATCTATGACGCATACTGATTCAGGAAGAAGGGTTAGCTATCAGTCAAGACCAAGTTGCTTAAATATGACGGAAGTTGAAATATAAAATATTGACTGGAGAGGATTCTTTGTAAGTGATAAATATCGTGAGGTGAAATGTTTTGTTCTTGAGGGATTTTATTGAGTTTTATGCCTTCGTTAGTGATGTTTCGAACTAACGTGCTCTACGTACTAGTACTGCTCATTTTCGCGATATTTTATCATCGGTATTTCCAACTATTTCTAACAGTATTATTGCAATAACCCAAATGTGTTTTACTTCTTTTAGAAGAAATAACCACCGCTTTTCGTCGATTTGGCCCCCTAATCGTTGACTGGCCTCATAAGACTGAAAGCAAGGCATATTTTCCACCGAAAGGTAAGTCAAATCACCCTTATTTCCTTTTTTGTGAAGTTTCTTTAGCATTCATGTTCGTCTCAGTTTCTATCATAGTTAAAGACCTGTACTAGCCTTCGTATATATGGTTTTAATGTTATGTGAAACCAACTCATTTACTGTTTCATATGATATTTCTGTACTATTACATTGCTTTTTTATTTATTTGTTTCATCTACCTAATATCCGTTAGAGGTAGCATCAATCACCAATTTTTCATTTTAATAAATTGGACTGTAGTTGAGTTCGGTTTTTTAATTCTAATCTGCTTCTAGATTTGGCTTCATTAATAAATTTTGAAACTTGACAATTTGTCATGCTAATTTCATTCTGGATACATAGTTTTTCTGTTTTGCTTTTAATTTTTACTCCGAGATGACCAACATTTGTCTTCATTTACAAGCAACTTCTGCTTTCGAACCTCTGAACTAAATTGTTGGCTATGTATGCTCATTTGTTGTTTAGAGCTGACCTAGCCAAAAACATTGGTAGCTGAAATAGCATCATCAAACAAAAGTAGTAACATGGTACTAGGTTTATTAAACAAATTTCCAATCATTTCTCTACCATGTATTCCCAAAATGGAGGTATATATTGAACAGTTAAAAATTAACTTGCTGTTTTTAGTCTATATGCTGTTCCGCATAAAGCAAACTTTTAAGGTTAACAATTTTTCACTGGATTTTACAACTCAGATTTTGCACTAGATTAGTTTGGTAGGCTTACATAATAATAATGATATATTTATTTTATTCCGAACCATAATTTTGTTTACAGTACAAAATTCTCAGCATGTGATAGTGCATAAGTTCACTCGTTTTACAACGTTTTTCAAATATATATTAACAATGATATTGCTTGACAATATGCGACGAAGAATAACATGATTGTTGAAATGTTTAGTGACTTCAAGGACATGACAACTGTTCGCTATTGCAAAGTTGATTGATAAGACTTTGTCGTACATGATTTTCTCCATACAATATACAAGCTTAATAAGGCATGGTTGAACTTTTGTTTGTAGTTGTACATGCATAGGGTTTAATATATTTGCTTCGTGTCTTCCCGGAGGACAGACATGGAAAGTGCTGCGGATTGAGAGGGTGCTTGTCATCAGATAAAATATTGCTAGCCAGTAGTCTACAAGAACGTAGATTCCTATCCACAATCGCATTTATCAGCACGGTCAGTGGTGTACCACTCGCTCTACTGATGGCCTTCAAAATTCTACGGGACAACGTAGTCTTGTTTCCGGAGTCCAGGAAAGAATAAAAGGGTACAATAGGTAAGTATAGGCAAAACACAGGAATTAATGAAACGTAATAGTAGATGCTGAGTTACATCAGACAGTCTGAGTTACCTTCCTTAGAAGATGAAGCGTATGATTTTGCTAGAGATCGTTAAGATATTAGGGGACCAAGAAAGATCAGAGGACAAGTAGAGGCCAAGGTGGATCACGCTTGTTACATTCTCTGCAATAGAGCCATCTTGGAGACAAGAGCTATGGAACTGAAGCAATATGCAGAGGTCTTTTTCACGTCTTAAACTAAAATTAAGTATCTGAAATCTGGAGGGAGTGAGTATGACCAGTAACCAATTTCGATCAGGTAATTTTTAATCTGAGAACAGTCTGAAGAGGAGGTGATCGGCATAGGTTATCGGACGCCCATAACTACTCATCACTCTTCCAGTGAGTTCTAATCATTTTCACCACTGCAACATGTCTTGAATTGGTTTCCTTAACATTTCATTCGAAAAGTTTTCACAGTCAGATGACTATTTCACAAAATTCGGTAGCTCACTAATCTGCAAACACGATTGTTTATTTGGTTCCATAGTGCTATTGTGGTGGGCGTGGCTGATAACAACGGATCTAAGTAGTATATATCAAGAGGGTGGCAGGAATCATAGGGAATTACCGGCGATGGGTAAGGTTTCTGCCGAGAGCAACTCAGGGGATAGCACAGGCGTATTACAGGGGATGCTGCTGATAAGAGTGCATGAAGAGCAGGTCAAGAGCAAATCAATACAGGAACGGAGGAGGAAACGAAGACATTTGCAAATGGCTGGGTTATTGCAAGGTGTACCACATGTAACTACTACCATTCCAATTGTTCGTAATAAACATTCTCTCGTCGAGTTTTCCTCTGTCTCTTCAATTGGTGTTGCTGCCTTTGGACGCGATGAAGATCCCATGGCCTACAGAGTTCGAGGATGGAGACATCAAGGTCTTCCTCAGGGACTTTGAGGCGATCGCGGAGCTGATGGGGGTTCGGGATCCGGAGGCGAAGGCCGTGGTGCTGGGAACGTTGCTGCGGGGCAGAGCGGAAGCAGCATATGACGGAGTGGAACGTGGTGACGGGAAGGAGACCTGGCGGGGAATGGTTCAGCGCCTATAGGCGGAGTTCGACAGCGCGGCGGACAGGGAACAGGCGATGCGGCAGTTCCGCAGCGCGAAGCTGGGAATAGACGAAGATCTGCTGGTTTTAGCTGTGAAATTGACCAAACTACTTCGACGAGTGCTTCCCACGTTGGATGAGGACGCCCAACAACAGTCGCTGACCGCACAGCTCACTAAGAGTGTCCCGAATGCTGTTGCCCACCAGTTACGACTAGTCAATGTAGCCCAGCCCATGGACATTAGTGAAATGGCCAAGGTGACCAGACAGCTAATGGGTACAGGAGTAGCGGCTGTGGGGAAAAAAAAAGTAAATAACTGGCAAGAACAAATCGACAACCTTCAGGAAAAGATAGCCGCACTGCGAATGAGCATCAACAAACAGAGTAAGTGCTTTGCATGAGGGAAACCGGGACACTGGCGAAGGAATTGTCCGGAGAGGCGGAAAAGAAAACGTTTTGAACGATATAATATGATTTCTGTTTTTCCGACTAGACTAGATATCGTAGGAGCCATAGATCGAGGCGCAGTGTGTGCTAGATTGCGAATAAATGGTCGGGATATCGTGTGTCTCATAGATACAGGGGCGGCAGTCTCTCTAATAGATAAGAGGCAGTCTCACAACACAAGACCATGTGCGCTAACGGTCCATACGGTTGGGGACATGCACTGGATATTGCGGGCTTGTCAGATTGCGTTGTTGAGATCTGGAGCCAGAAAATTAGATTCCCATTTATTGTGACTGCGCACCTACAACGCCCAATCCTAGGTGCCGATTTTCTGAGAGAAGTGGGTGCAGTGATTAACACGAGAACAGGAATAGTGGCAACGAAGTACGGGTCGTTCAACACTCAGGAAAACAGCGAGGTAGCAGAGATTGAAGTACCAAAAGCCCCGTACCCAGAAACGCCAAACATCATGAAGGTGGTTAAGAAATACGACAGATTGTTCACAGGAGATGGAGACCCCTATGGTTATTGTGACAAGGTTCAGCATGAAATCCCAGTGACCAGTCAGGTAACGACAACATTCATCACACGGCGAATACCATGTCACTTGGAACAAGAAGTTGGGCGCCAGGTTCAGGAAATGCTAGATGAAGGTATTATTGAAGAGGCTGACAGTCCATACAGTTCTCCAGTACTTTTAGTAAGAAAGTCAAATGGGAAATATAGATTCTGCGTGGACTTCCGGGAGTTAAATAGCATAACGCAGCTGAAGCCATGTGCCATGCCGACGATAGCTGAGACACTGGATCGTTTGCAGAATGCGAAAGTATTTACAGTTCTGGACCTCCGCTCGGGCTACTGGCAGCTACCAATAAAAGACAGTGATAAAGAGAAAACAGCATTTATTGTGGGCAAGAAGCAATACCAATTCAAGCGAATGCCATTTGGTCTGGCAGGGGCGCCCTTTACATTTAGACGATTGATGATGTTGTTGCTGAAGAATTTAGAGAACGTAGAGGTGTACGGCGATGACCTGGTGGTGTACAGCCAGACGGAGGCAGAACACAGAATACCTTGAAGCTGTTTTGAGACGTATCGATGAGTTTGGACTCCCATCAATAAGACAAAATCTCAAGTAGCCAAGAGAGTGTTACGTTGCTGGACACAAAGTTGGAAACGGCGAAATAAAACCACTACCGAGAAAATTCTGAGAACTATTCCAGTGCCGAATTCCAAGAGGAAACTGCGACAATTCTTGGGTAGAGCAGCATTCTACAGTCGGTTCCTCAAAAATTTCAATGAGATAGCAGCACCGTTATATAAGCTACTGGGCAACCCCAAATTTGTGTGGACGGAGGAGGCACAAAAAACATTTGATCACATCAAAGAACTCCTAAATGACCAGGAGATGACGTTAAAACTACCAATACCTGGTAGGCCATTTATCGTGTCCACCGATGCAAGTGATTATGGAATAGGGGCAGTCCTGAGACAGACTGAAGGAGTAGTGGAGTATGCCAGCCGCGTTCTAACACCCGCAGAACAGAAATATTCTACAATGGAAAAGGAATGTCTAGCGATAGTTTGGGCGCTGGAGAAGTGGAGATCGTACCTCCTCGGTCAACGATTCCATATTGAAACGGATCATAAACCTCTACAGTGGCTTAAGACAGCGAGAGACCCCAGAGGAAAATTATCACGTTGGGTGTTACGACTGCAAGAATATGACTTCACCATCGGCCATGTGGCAGGGAAAGAAAACTGGTTGGCAGACTTCTTATCAAGATCTGACGAAGAAAATGAGCTACCTGAGATCGCATACGGCGTACATGCAGTGGAATGGAACCCGTTAAGACTTATTCGCCTTCAGAAGTCGGACCCGACACTGAAAGAAGTGATCAAAGCCATAACTGAAGGGACAGAGACACAAACGTCTGTGGGAGATAAAGAGTTGAGAACGTTGTTGACGCAGAAAGAACGCCTACGGATGAATACTTATGGAATGCTAACGTGGCGAGAAAATGACGGAAGCTGGTTGGCAGTGATTCCGAAATGTCTACGCGACAAAATGATACAAGAATGCCACCAGTTAGCTCATACAGGTGTCTCACGGACAGCTGACCTTCTCAGACAAAGTGCATACTGGCCAGGTATAAGAGAGGATGTTGCCAAATACGTGCTGGGGTGTCCTCATTGTCAACTGATGAAAGGTGATCGGTATGTACGGCCGCCACTGCAGTCGATTCCAGTAGCAGCGGTTGGTGACCTGTGGTCGGTGGACGTAATGGGACCATTTCCGCAGACGTCTAGTGGCAACCAATACCTGTTGGTGATGACGGAGCATGCTACACGATGGGTAGACGCTGTCGCGATTCCTGATCAACGCGCGAAGACAGTGACCGCAGCGGTGATGCGGCATATTATCGCGGATCACGGTGTGCCGAAGATGATACTGACCGACCAAGGTCCTTGTTTTGAGAGTGAAGAATTTAAATCCTGTTTGGAGCAGCTTGATATCAAGAGGATAAGAACGACGCCGTACCACCCGCAGACTAACGGTTTGACAGAACGGAATAACCGTACACTGAAGGAGTGGCTAGCTTCGAAAGGAGGAAATTGGGAGACGGAACTGCCGTTAGTATTATTAGCTCATCGTGCCTCGGTACAAGGAACAACCAAGAAGTCGGCGTTCCAGTTAATGTATGGCAGGAAACCACGGCTCCCGATACATAGTAAGACCTGGCCCCAACAACAGCCTTGGAACATGACAAGATTGAGAGAGGAGCGGAAACAGGCTATCAGGAATGTGGAACGAAAGCAGAAGGCTGATGCTGAAAAATCTGAGCAGAGAGAAGGAAGTAAATGGAAACCATTTGAGGTTGGAGATCAGGTGAAATGTAAAGAACGAGGATATACGTCAGGAGGTGAGTATGGCAGAAGGAAACTACTTCCGAAGTGGGAAGGACCATACATCATTACCGAGAGACGCGGTTCAATTTATACCATCAAACAAGGGAACAAAGAGAAAAGAGTAAACGCCAGCCTACTTCAAAAATGGAAGCAGTGGAAAAAAGACGAAACAGCGAGTGAAAACCAAGAGAAGACAGCACCAAGACGATCAACACGGTTGCAAGCCCGGAATTTTGAGGGGGGGACGAGTGTAGTGGGCGTGGCTGATAACAACGGATCTAAGTAGTCTATATCGAGAGGGTGGCAGGAATCATAGGGAATTACCGGCGATGGGTAACTCAGGGGATAGCACAGGCGTATTACAGGGGATGCTGCTGATAAGAGTGCATGAAGAGCAGGTCAAGAGCAAATCAATACAGGAACGGAGAGGAAACGAAGACATTTGCAAATGGCTGGGTTATTGCAAGGTGTACCACATGTAACTACTACCATTCCAATTGTTCGTAATAAACATTCTCTCGTCTAGTTGTCTTGACTCTTCACTATGACATATATATATATATATATATATATATATATATATATATATATATATATATATATATATATATAATTAGTAGTGCTAGTATGGTCACTCATAACCTCTCATTTACTTAACCTTGACTAGTTTGTCAGGATCTGTTTTTGCCCAGTTTCAGTCTAAACGACTACCCTGGACTTAAGTGTTTCGAACGAAACCGTATCCACTGGATAGTTCACGTTTGATAGTAGATGGGTCATGTATTTGTTTAGTTCAGAAACCGAGGAAGCAAAACCAGATAGTTGTTTGTACTGGTTTATTGTTTGGTATTTTCCGCAAGTGAATTATTGGCCGATTGATGCAAAACAACGTAAATTTATTGCATTCTTGTCTGGGAGTTATTAAAACATCAATCATTTCACCGTTACTTCATTATTTTGATTCCATGATTAGTAGAAAATCTGTATATAAATGTAATCTTTTATAAGAGTTTTAATACAGCAAGCGTTTGTGTTCAGCTACCGTCTTAAGTAATCTATTCTATGAATGCGCAAACCTGACATTTGGTGTGGGAATGATGATGCAAGGTTCCATACAGTAAGTGTGAATCACGGTTCGCGCGGACATTTTTGTGGAAGGTTGATTTGACAGTCTCTTGAAGATACATATTTGACTTTTCAGTGTACAAAAATAAACCAAATGGTTAGGCCTTCATGTAGGGAAAACAAAACTGTCCTGGTTGATTTCGACTACTCTAAGTACTATTTTAGAGTCTAAATTTATATCACTTGGTGAATGTGTTATACAGTCAGGATAAAAAGAAATGTATGTTTTAATTGAGTCATATTGTTTCAATGAGTACTTAAAAAATGAAGCTGATTGCTAGTTTATTGATGATGTTGCGGAGATTCCCTTACACAATTTTGTTTTCTTTAAATTATCATATATAGGCTACTGTTTCTTGCTATTTCAAGACGAAAGATCTGTCCAAAGTCTCATTAGCGCTTGTATTGTGGATGAAGGGAAATATTATTGGTGTGTTTCTTCACCCACTATGAAGGATAAGCCTGTAAGTTCAAGCAGAATAAATATATTTATACTTAATTTCAATAACTTCAGAACGTTTTTGTGCCTGTTTAACGCTGTTATGAGGCAGTTTTTCTCTTGAAAGCTGAGCTGGCTAGTGTGTTACAATTATAGTTGAATTTGGTGCACATAGCCTGAGTGTTAAACACGGACTGAATCTGGAGCTACTTGCCATAAACCGTCATAACTAGATTTATGTCTTCTTTCTGTTTGTAACTGCTTTCAGTGAAGTTGCATTATCCTGTGTAGTTTTCCCATGTGTGCGGGCGTGTCAGAAACTAAAATGCCTAGCATGGAATCAGAATTTAATTGTTTTCGGTGAATCATCTTTCTTTATGGTTACAATCATATTGACCGATAAAGTACCAAGATTAAATTGTCTTGATTGTCTTTTTGTTTATACATGCTAGTATTGGTTTATCTGAATTGTTATAATTTTTAGGGCGAAATTTAATCGTTTATTAAGACCTTAGCCTTCCAAAACATGCAGTGTAAATACTGCTAGGGTGTCCATTCGCACAGTTTATGGGTTAGTAACACTAAAGTCATCGTCATCTGGACATCTACAGACACTGTTGCACTTCGTACTCATTATCTATTTCAAGTGACTCCAACTCCAAGAAATGGAATTAGGAATATACTCTGCTAACTACTGTTTTGTACAGATACATGCTTCTATCTGATAGTATGGCTAGTAGCTGTCATACACAGCACCCTGTGTACTAGAGCGAATGGTCTTCTTGAAACAAGTAAGTTTTTTCATGCTGCTGAAGGAGCGAGTACGTTTAGTGCTCCTCAGTTGCCAACATCGGGGAGCTATCTTTATGTAGTGACCAAAAAGATTGAATCAGCAACAGTGATGTGTGATCGTAGGCTGTCTTAAAACTTAGCAGCATTATGTTGGTTACACAGATGATTTTACGAGTTTTATGTATGCTTTCGTTTGTTTGTTTAACTTAATTGGTCTGCTTGTATGGTGTAAATAAGCTTTGCGTATTATATCATTCTCCATCTAAACACTTAAAAATGCACTTATTAACCCAAGGGAGAAGAGGTAAATCAGTTGGCGAGGTTATGAACCTTCATCGACTGAGGTGGTTGGGACACGTGTTACGTATGCCTAGTCGCCGATTGACTCGTCACACAATGTTGGCCGAAGAAGGTGCAGCCTGGAAAAAGGCCCGAGGTGGCCAGACTAAAACATGGCATCAATGTATGAAGTCTTTGACTGTTGGTTTGGGCCATGTAGATTAGCCGGTTGGGGTCCGCTGGACAAGAGGAACCAGTGGTTGGAGACTCTAGGTGATAATGTCTGGTCCTATGTTGGTATTGATGATGACTTATTAACCCAGAGTTTTGCTTCAGAACTAGGAGGTCTTTATTATTGATATTCCTAAAACTGACCACAAATATAGGTGTATAGTTCATATTCGTTTCATCTAGTCATAAGTCTTACCATTTAATTTTGTCATCCGATGACGTTTTATTGAAATAGGTGATTAACTCTAAACATGATATGTGAATGCTTTGCTTTCAGGTTAGTAAATTTTAGGATATTCCTTGGAGCTCGAGAATGTGTTCATCACAAGAAATTATTCACCACTGAGAATCATAGTTCTATATGACCTTTAAATCCTGCCGTTGAACACTTTGGTGTGACTGATCGACTAAGAGACTTCATAATGATCGTAAACAGTTGGTGTCAAAAGCGAGAGATAGAGCCGGTATCAGCACTAGGTAGTACTTGACAGTTATTTCGGCTTAAGGTTACTGACTGAAAAGGCGGTAGTTAGTGGCACCATCGTTGAGAAGGATGGGTCCGTGATAAACTCTTGAGATAGACGGATAGAATGCTATGATAACCACTAATGTACAGTTCATTTGGCCATCAGCCACACTTCAGTTGCTCAGCATCCAGCCTAAAAGTTAACGGGATGTGGATTTTGGCCCTCGAACTCTTCTCAAAGTTGAGAAGGCTGTTTCAAACATGAAACGATTCAAAGCAGAAGGACCTGACGGCTTGCCACCTCAAGCTGTTAAGGGAGGAGGTTGGAAACTGATGAGTGAAGCAACATAATAATAATAATTTTTCGAAACAGTTTTTATACAACTTGGAGTTTTGTAGAGATTATTGATTTAAAGTTGGTATTCATCACCGACTGACATTAATTGGATAACTCCTAATGACCTGGAAGTATTAGACAGCTGTTTCATCCTTGTGCTCTCACCCATTGCCTCTCTAGGGATTTAACCCAGAACCTTCGGGTTCCGCGGTAAGCATGTTACCATTAAGCTACTGGGTCAGACGAAATCAACGTAAAACCGTGCACACAAGTGCATCTGTTCAAGTTGCCACACTTCACAGTAGTATGCAAAGAACAAGTGGAAAAAAAAGTGATGTTAAAGTAGACAAAGTTGTGAGCCTACTGGGTTGGAATTCAAGGTTCCACATTTTCTTACTCCTGTTAGTTCGCGATGTAGTGCTATTTCCATCCAGTGCTATCGTTGAGTACCTGTTCTCATGTCCGACTTGGTTTGCCCGACTGGTGATGACTTCTCAGTACAACTTCAGGAAACCTCATCTCGAGGCATGTAATATTACCACTGAATATACTCCTTTACAACATTCCGAATGGTGTTAATTATAGCAATTTAAACTATCCAGATAATATTAGTAACGAGGACAGTTTTACATAAATGATTGAGATATTGAAAAGATTGATTACTTAATGTTGCAAAAGTGATAAGTGAGTTCTGTTGTAATACCTTTTTTTCACATAATGGGCATGTTAGGTGCGGCACATTTGAGTTCATGACAGAGGCACCTCGTAGTATATGGGAAACAGAGGTAGTTCTACTAGACTAGCCTACTTCACTGCTCATCCTAGTTTATTGAAAGGGAGAAAAGTCTTCTTGTGACTAACATCGTATCCAAGATCCTGGCATCTATAGTTATCTGACGCCTAGCTGGAGATCGATAATAGCAAACTCGAGAAAACCAGGCTGGTGAACGAGGGTGTATCGACCATATTTTCACCCTCTGACATGTTCTGGAACACAGACATACTTACGGGCAGCCGACACGCCTTATTTCTTGACGCGAAGGTGGCATTGAACTCTGTCGACTGTGTGTTTTGACTATGAAAGGAGTACCACTTTTTCTGTCCACTTGTTCTTTGCATACTACTGTGAAATGTGTTAACTTTAACCGATACACTTGTGTACGAAGTTCTACATTTGTTTTTTTCTGTGGCATAATTGCTCTATCTCAGAGCATTCTGTCAGTTCCGGAATCCTTGATTTCTCGTCAGAAATGATTAGTTGGTAGTGTATATGCGTTTCAGATTCATCTCAACTACTTTTCTGTAACTAATATATAATGCATATCTAAAAGTCAGACGAAATCTGTACTGGGTATATCAAACTACAGGAGTCCTAAACTAAGATGAAATAGTTATTCATTGTTTCTGAATGTTCATTAGTTCTCTAACTAATCCCGATTTGTGTTGGAAGCTACTTGGAAATCAATCAATCCCCGTGAACTACCAGGCGAAACTTATCTTTGTTACACTATTGAGGGGTTTCACTTCGATATAAAGTCAATAAAACAGTTGCCTGTCCTGTATAATTCAGTGTAGAGCTATGGCTCAGTGGTTTATAGAGATGCCTGTCAACCAATAGGTCTTGGGTTCGAGCCCTGTAGTACATGCAAAGGTGTGGGCAGTCAGGTAGTATCAGTAACACGCACACAATAGGTGTGGCTTATTGCCTAGTGCGCGTATATGCACAAGGTGGCCAAGTGCGTATAACTCACTATTGTTGTCATCATTTCAGTTCCATTTTAGTCTGTTTATTAGAAATGTCACAGTGAAACAGTATTATTTACTGGATAACATTTCAGACATGATTTATTGTCTATATTCATATCAGGTCATATTGTTGAGTCAAAGGTTCTTGTACGAACGAGTTTATTTGTTTTCAAATCAATGCCATTATATCTTTTTTTAATTTCCCTCACCCAGCATTTCATTGGGATTAAGGTGCAGAGGACACTAGATCTAAATCAGTTGATGAAATTGTTTAGAAGTATGCCTTTTCAATTCTGTAACTACCTGCAGGTTCATGAATCAAACTTATTAGCGTACATTTTTGTTATTGACGCAAACACTATGATTGAAATGCATTGTTAATGGAATGAAGTGAAAGAGAAACTAGCGTCTAAATGCTATTTGCAGAAGGCTCAATTTATGCTACAATAGGAAATAAATGTGTTTATAATTCTTTTGAAGATCTTATCGTAACAAAATGTGAGATATAGTCTTTTAGACACTAAATTCCCAAAGCCTACTACTGAACTGTTTTCAAATTTATTTGAAGTGACTTTTGAAGCTGTACAGGTGACTTACTGCATAGTCCAGTGTTTTAGTTGTTTCAGGAATGTCTAGAAACTTTGGTTAGTTTATTTGGTTCCCAGTGATTCTTATAGTCAAGAAGAGAACTGTGAGTTCATTGAGAACGATTAATACTTTAAAAAAAATTTAGTGCCATTCTTTTCTACTAACAGGATTTCAAGGTGTTTGCCCATTTCTCAATACTTCCTTTTCACTGGATTAGTTTGGATTACATTATGATTTTATTTCAATAAAAGTAAACTCACCAGGTTTCATATTTCATCAATAGATAAATCTATTTTTCTCTTAATTATCTTTTAGGTTCAAATTCGACCATGGAACTTAGCAGATTCCGATTTCGTGATGGATGGCTCTCAACCGTTAGATCCTCGTAAGACAATATTTGTTGGAGGCGTTCCGCGTCCTCTTAGAGCTAGTAAGTCAGTCGGTGTTTTTAAAAGCATCACAGATGTTGCTTATTACCAGTATTACTGATATTTGAGGAAATTCGGTTTCCATCTTTTTACTAAATTTTACTGCACGATTATCTCTATCAAGCAGCAGAAAAGTTGTTCAACCGTTTCAAAGATTATTCCCAATGTAAAATGTAAAATGGTGTTGTAATTAATGCTCAAGGATGTGGTCTTTCAGTGTTATTGACCTATATCACATCTCTCCAGTGCTCCCAGATTTTCAATTGTTCTCCAACTGATGTCACTCTGTGATGAGTGCCAACTTACAATTTAGGCTTATGATAATACCTGATTTCCAAGTGCAGATTGTTGAGGCGTGAAGCCACTGTGTTTGGTCTGATGCCTAGTATAAAAACTTGTATATAGATACTAAGTTACCTTAATAACTATCATTATTGCTAAATATTAGCTTGCTTGTCAACCACATTCTAGTTTTGCGAAATGTTTGACTTCAAAGATTGTTACCATACTGGGAAATAATTTGATCAACTCAACTTTTTTTCCCACCTTATTTGTTCCAGAAACTCAGTACTTGGCAAATTAGCTGATTGGTTAGCGTCACTTGCAAACGGTAGTTTCGCGGAGTGGAGGTTTTCACGATAAATATTTCATGGATCCTATGTATGAAAGCATAAGGACTATCATCGGCTTTTCTTCAGGATACAATTGTATTAGGGGGTAGTACGGTTAGATTCTTGAGGTGAATCAAACAAGCTAGTCATTTGGAAGTGCACTACTATACATTCATAGGAAGTCAAATTCTGTTTGTTACTGAATGACAAAATAACTATTCTAAACCGGTGGGATTTAGTTGGTCAGAGCATACAGTTTAGACAAAATGACTCTAGAACTGGTTGGATGAGTGAAACAGTATTACTCGTAATTTTCCATTTGTGATATCTCTTTTCTTTCACTAGCTGTCGTGTTCATTTTCCTGGCATGCGGAGGTGCACCTAATTGACGTAGACATTTGATTTCCAATCTCTGACTTTGGAAGTCGAACCCATATACACCTATTCAGGTTCGGATAACGGAGTTAAAATATTCAGTCCTTATACAAGTGTCTTACAACTTAATTATGAACCCTTATAGAGTTACTGAGCTGCACTTTCTTCTATGCAACGTTTTTCAGATTCCTAGTTGTATAGTGTGCACGTTAGTTCTTGCCCTTATGTTTAGTTCCTGTTTGATCTTAACTTAGATCTATCTATGCGAAGATAGTTTGTTTAAAATCACACTGTTATGTGTACACAACCAACAACTGAATGTCATTCAGTGGAATTCTTAGTTTACAAGTGCATTCAGTGATCGTTTCATTTTGTTAACATAAGTATATTTCTCTGAAGGTATTTTTTAGTTCTTCGACCTATGTTTAAAATGAGGTATAGAGGAAAATATTAGTCAGAGAAAACATACTCCCTTCCTACTTTTCGTTTTCTAATATTTCCTCTCTTCCTATATATATATATATATATATATATATATATATATATATATATATATATATATATATATATATATATATGCGAAAATCGATTTTCCATCTATACATCTTTCCCTTCACTTTCATAGTTTCATTCCTATCAATATGCATGTAAAGTAATTTGTTTGCTTCCACACACGCATCCACAAAGTAACTTGTTTCTGTCTTCTCTGCCTGTCAGTTTTCCATTCTCTCTTGTTTTTGAAATCTCTTTCCCTTTTGCCATGACCTGAAAATGACCTCACTTGTAGACAGAAGTTTACTGCTTTTCATTTTTCTTCCTTGGCCATAGTCTGAACTAGTCATCATTGTTGTTTATGGTATATAATTTCTGCCCAACCAACGATGTCAGATTCAGATACCACGAACTGGAATTATTCTCTTTGTGATAAGTATTCATGGGTCTGTATTACGAAAATAAAGCGTTGAGTGGCATTTATCGCGATCTCACCTTTTGGAGTGCCTGGAATCGATAAAAGATCCGCGTCATTCAGTAAATCCAAATACAACCACTCGTGTGATTCACAGACTAAATAGTTATGGGGTAATGATTTTTACTGCAGCAGCAATGCGTTGCCTTCTGCGAGAACAGTTATTGAATCATGTTTGGGGAGCGGTGTTTTGCAGTTTCTCATAACTAATTTTAAACGGTTTAATGTCCAGATATATTGGGTGAATAGTACCCCAGTTGCAGCTGGTGACGTTTACACCAGTGTGTGTGGTAAAAAAAGGCACATCCTGGAGTAGAGCTAGCGTAAGAAAATAAATTGATGAGGAGCACTATAACGTGAAGTCTGACTGTTAGCTGGAGATTTCAAACCCTGTATCTTAAGTCTATCAGTAGCTAGAAATTCTAGGTCCCTGTTAAAAACAGCACTCTTCACCTTCCCTCAATTCCTGAACACATTACTTTCCATTTGTATGTTTCTTACCTACTTATACCCTTCGTCCCTTTTCATCCTGTCCTACTTAGGATTTCTCTTCGCGATGTACGGAAGTGTGAAAACCAACATACTTTTGTGTTAGGTTTCATGCTATTATTTTGTATGTACACGAAGAATGTAGGATGTAGCATGTCTTATCTAAACAAGACTGAACTACGATTAACTGGTTTTTCTGAGTATTAACGCATATGTATATTAGCAGTTTGCAAGATGTGCTGAAATGAGGTATGGCAACTTGGACCGTTACACAGTAACGCCAGGTCCTACGTTGACCCTGACTAACTCAGACCTGTTTGATGAGTGTTGATTTTGAGTACTAAACTGGTATCTATACTTGTCTTGGGGAACAACGAAAGTTTCCGAAATTTGAGTTGATGCATTGAGTTCAAATTGGTATCAATGATCCACTCTAAAACACAACTACACATTAAAAGGGTGGGGAATAGCTTACTTTGCGAACTTCATCATGTTCTTTTGTGCACAAAAATCTCATTTTTCACATCATGTTGTATCAATTTCCATTCCAAATAGTATTATATCTCATTTTTCTAGTTGAACTTGCTCTGATTATGGATCGTTTGTACGGTGGTGTTTGTTATGCTGGTATAGACACTGATCCAGAATTGAAATATCCTAAAGGTGCTGGTCGTGTTGCATTCTCAAATCAGCAGAGTTACATAGCAGCAATCAGTGCACGATTTGTTCAGTTACAGCATAATGAAATTGATAAACGCGTAAGTTTTGTACATTCATGGTGTTTGTGATTCATATTCCAGGCTATTTTATGTGAAAGGAACTGATGTATTCAGAATAGCGGCTTCAAGGACTGGGGAATGGTTTTCACTGCTAATGAACATAAATCAAAGTTCTCTGAGAGGAGTCATTGAGTTGATTTCTCTCTCCAATGTTTCTTTGATGTTGAACAGTGGTAGTCGCTAAATTTAAAACTTTTGGTTGTATTAAGATAGTCGTTGTTGCAGCTGATATTTGTCGGTTTGATTTTGAACAGTATGAGAAGCACTCATTTCAGGTGAACTTTAGGGCATACTCTGGTTCTCAGTGAGTTTTCAGTTGATTTTGGCCCACTCATTCGTACTCATATCACTATATATTTCTGTGTCAGTTGGGAGATGATAGGATGAACTTTCATGTATGACAGGTTGGTTTTAATCAAACAAAATTTTTCTAAGCTCGCCTATCTTCATTTCCTACTTTAACAGAGGTAACTGTATTGAAAGTAGCCTGACCAACAATGGACTAGATGGTAACTGTATCTAGCAGGTGTAAGAAAGTAAATTGGTTAATTTTTAGTTGCTGTTTCTGAACTGGCAATAGGGATAACAATAATAGCAGTGATTCGTTCGCTTCTAAGTAATCAGCTCGAAGTCAGTTCTCCTTCGCATAATTTAGTCGCCATTGGGATAGATTATTTTTGCCAACTAAAATTATTCACTCCTATCAGACCTTTTCTATCGACCAAATGTTTTAGTCTAGTTCCATCTTCCCTTCACCTCTTATCCAATCCCATTGAAATACTTTACATATATGTATAAAATTGTCTTTTGTGCGTAGGTGTTTATCTAGAATCTAGATGTTGCCCTATTTTCCATTCATTTTTTCATGTTACCATAAATATTATTCAGGTATTTTGTTCATCTTAAAAATTTAGTATTGATTGTAATGCATTTGATGCAGCAATAGATAAAAGCTAATATGTAATCTGAACTGTATGGATGAAATTAAGTGTGATTCTCCTACAAGCATTTAATGCTCTTAGTGTTTACTTATGCCTACTAAGTATCCGGAAGCCTTTTAAAAGCTAAGTTTACCGCACATTAGTGCGTTAAATCTGATTCTATAGCTATGAAAGACAACTAGATAAAATACTTGTATAAGCTACAGCTATTCAGCTACTTTTCTCTTTATGACATTGTATGTCACCATATAAGCTGTACACTAGTTAGGCTTACGGTATTGGGAAGGCTGGTCAAATAGGGCTACAAACTTTTATGGATCCAGTTGCTTTAGACATACTGAGCTTGCTTTGGTGCAGTATGGGATGATAAGATTTGGTAGTGGTTCCCAGACCAGAAGAGGGTTCCTATTGGATTGAGTTACGTAGGTTTCGTAATAAGGGTCCATTAAACAAGTGAAGTAGACTAGGTAATATGCTTCAAAATGGATTACAGTGGTGTATTTGCACTCACGTCTTATACTCATTTACATCTCGGAAAACTTCCAGTCAGTCATTGTACTTTATTTCCTTTATCTCATTTTCTTTCTTATAGTAGCATTTTGAGACTACTGATACTAACTTTATAGTGATATCTTTCTCATTGTTAACTTTTACCTGTATATGGTAATCTCAAATATGACAAATCGCAGTGGCACAATTATGCTGGTTGGATCCATCAACTTATTTGCCTGTTGATTATTTGTTGACTGAATTCCATACTATGGAAGTTCATTATAGAATTAACGAATTGATTAATGATTCATACGTATGTTAAGTGGTGAAAATTGCCTATTCGAGATATCTAGTCAGCCTTAAACAGTGTGAACTTTCTGAGTCAATGTGGCTCATCGCTTTGAGTACTTACTTTTCAATCGTTGTGGCTAGAGTTCATACTTTACTTCATCTATTTCTATCTGAGTGACCGGATGGTATCATAAAACCTCATTTGATATATATATATATATATATATATATATATATATATATATATATATATATATATATATATATTGTTACGAGGTAAACTGGGTAAATTACTTCACTGAGATGACCGATTGTTTCACACTGTTTATTCCCACTGGGTTGTATAATATTGGCAGACATAATTATTTTATTACCTGAGATAGTCATGGTTTGGCAGACTCGTATTATTAATACTACATAGTGTTTGAAAATGAAACGAAATTCTGGGTCCCAGCAGAATTCGAACCGCCGACTTCCGGGTTACTGACCTAATGCTCTACCAGCTGAGCTACAAAACCCAACTGCTGATCATATCCTTAATCTCATTTCAATTTTCAGTCAGAAGTTTGATGTAGTTTCTGTTATCCGAATTCCACAGATCTATTTAGAACTTCACAGAAAAGAAGCATATACATAATCTTTCGTTTTTCAGCATAAGAGATTTTCTTACTGGCCTAAATAAAATTTGACAGATTTTACAGTGTAATCATTTTTAGCAATTTACGCTACCATAAATTACAAAATCTGGCAACTAGTTTGGGTAGAAGTTTCGAGTTTGTGAATCTACCACATTAGGTAACCTGCATATTTTCAAAAATGACTTGGTTTTTGGAGGAGTAAAACTTGAAGTTTAACCTGGAAGCATTAGCTGCACATTTGTAATTTCACACTGACAATTTGTGCCCGCTTTTGTACTTGAAGTCAGGAGTATTCAATGGATTTATATCAAGCACTATATGAACTGCTGACTGTATCTATTTATATATAGGCTGTTCATGAGCTGACTTGGCTTTTCGGAATTGTGGTTCATTTCTGTTTACTCGCTGAATAATTATAAATCGTAAGGTCTTAGAATTGTTATCAAACTAAGTATGACTAATGTATTATAAATAAATTTTTAAGTGACAAGCCTTTTCATTTTGGTAATATTTCGAGCAAAATTTTTGCCTGTGATCACTCAAAAAGTTGGAATCTTATTTACTTATAATTGTGTGCCAACTTATCACTAAAATTTCTACTGAGAAAGTATTGACCTATTCTACAGTGCACAAACTTTTCAGCGATATAATCGTGACTAGTTAGAGTCATATCTAAGTCGCACTCCCAAGCTAAAATCCTAGTCGAATCAGCCTAAGATCGTGGTCGACAATCTTCAACTACTGATGATAGGCTGTTACCACCTTGTATTACTTACAGACTTCTCGAATAAGTGGAAATTTATAGACCCTAGTGACGAGTACCTGGAGGCGGTCTGTTAAGATACTTGATACGACCTCTAGACGATACCGGTAAAGTAACGAAACACTTTATCCAAGCTTTTCCTAGTCCTTGAGAAGAACGGTCACTGCATGCAATAATTTATTAGTTCAGTCGAAGTGATTCAAACTGAATTTAAGCTCTTATATATACTCATAGTGCATTAAAACGCGATTCATAAATACCGTGTCTTAACAGTTAACAACCAATAAAAAGACGTCATACACACAAGTAGCGGAAACGAACTTTAAGATCCAATGGATTTGTGTAGTAGAATCAGATAAACTCCGTCTTCGGATCACATTGTAGAAATGAGTAGCAGAATTTAGAAATCTAGAATTCAAACGATGGAAATAAAAGTCAATAAACACGCTTGTACTTCGCACCTCAGTTTTTAGAAAAATCAGTAGCATACCATTTTTGATCTCTTTAGAAGTGAAATATTTACTGGTGACATCGATATGACCAAATTTTTGGATGCAGGGTGACCTTGCTCTTGTAGATTTTTGTATTACTAATAGTTGTACCCTCATGATATACCCCCTAGTTGTAAATGCAATGTGTCCAGTAGTTAACACGCTGGTTTATGTTTAAATTTTGGCATTTTTGTCATAAATTGTCTCTTCTTTCTTGCTTATCAATTTGTTTCAGGTTGAAGTTAAACCGTATGTGTTGGATAATCAAATGTGTGATGAATGTCAGGGTACTCGCTGTGGTGGCAAGTTTGCTCCATTCTTTTGTGCCAATGTTACTTGCCTTCAGTACTACTGTGAACAATGTTGGGTACAAATACACAGTCGTTATGGTCGTGAATATCATAAACCTCTAGTCAAAGAAGGCGCTGAGCGTCCTCGTCCTGCACTTTATCGGTGGTAGGCGCCTATTCACACCTATTATTCTTCACTGGGGTTTGTTTTACAGTGTGCATGCCTAACATAGTAATGGATGTGTTTCCTCTGTCTTCAATTTCACTGTCCTTCATCTTTCGGTTTCTTGGTCACTAATCACTTTGTCAATTCATGCTCTTAATCTTGTTTGTTGTTTTCTAAGTAAATTTTTCTAAATTTTTGCCAGTCTAATGATAAGTTTTTTATGTCACCTATCACCATCCACAATGATAATTGGCTTCTCTATTTCAATGGAGAACCTCTTTTTAGACTGAATTCATATAATATGATTTTATTAGGTCAATGCCTGTGTTCGCCCCGAAGTTATCAGTTTGCTTTTTTGCCATTTCCTAGTCTGTGATTTGTCATTCACTAAATGCTGATTATTAAATCTTTCTTTTGCTTGTTTGTCTACGCAATTACACGTGGGATATATATATATATATATATATATATATATATATATATATATATATATATATATATATATATATATGACCATGTCTAGCTGCATAAATGTGGAAAAAGGAGGCGTTGTTTACTTTGTTACAACTATTTGTTACTACTCTTATTTAGTTTGGTTTCACCATTCTGTACTACACATACTTTCTACTAATTATCTTGAAAAGCGTTTTTTCCTCTTTTCTTTTTCTACCAATTGCTCTTTGTTTGCCATTTCTTTTTAAAAGCAAACAAAGTTGAACTGTTGTTTGTTTTAACTGTGATCAAAGTGTTTTAGTTGTTATATCCTTTGTGGAATATTTTTGTCACAATCAGTTTTGTTTCTTGTTTGTTTGCATAGTAAAATTTTTTATATACTACCTTCGGATATATTCATCCTTCAGTTACCATGTTACTTATAATTATAATATAATACTAGTATCTTTCGTTTGTTCATCCGCCTGTTTATTTATCTGATTTTATTGTTTTTATTTCCTATTCTTGATTGTGATGAGTTACTTATTGACTTTTTTCTTCTCTACTCTTCATGTTACTTTTTGTTGAAATGGAAGGTTAAACTTATGGTGTGACACCTCGATCTCTTTTCACTCACTGCTACTGTTATATTACTACTGACGGTAACGATAGTACAGCCATTAACATGTACAGTATAATATATTTTTAAAATCTTCTTACTGCTTGCTTAGAAGCGAATTTCGTTAGTCATTAATATGTCAACTTGTATTTTTGTTTCTCTAGTTTGCTACCTTTCTTATATCACTACGCATATATACTACCACTATTATAAGTACACTGTTTGCACCTATACCCCCTCCCTCAAGACAAAATTAACTGACCTATGCAAATGCATCAGTATATTGCTTTTCATACCAAAGATAGATATCACACCTACTTTACTGGTCAGTTCAGTAGCACACATGTGTACCTTTTCTATCTATCCTTAATGTTATTTAGCTTGATTGGCATGATCTTTTGTCAACTGATTGTTGTGCGTTATGTCATATTTGGTATGTGCACACCTTTTTTTTCCCAAGGAATTAGCCAATTTCCAGTTGCGCATTGGTTGATCTGATATTTCCTTCACAAATTCGTATTAAGTCTTTTTCTTACTCTTCTTGTCCTTTTCCGTTCTACTGCTTGTTTATCACTACTACTATTTTGTTTTGTTTTCATTTCCGTTTTTTTTAGTATGTAGACTTGATGATAAAAGTTAAGTTCAATGGGGAGGGGAGTCACTTTTTATTTTTATAATGTTATTTTGTTGTTTATTTTTCCTTTTTTTTCCACTGTACCACATTTTTCATAAACACCATTAATAAGACAAAAAAGCTTATATTTTCTTACAATCTTTCATGTTGTTGTTATTACTATAGTTATATATATTTACACAATATTATGATTTATTCGTCCAATACGTTGCGTAACAAACAAACACATTTTTATATCAACTTAAACATTTCAGTACTGTTTTTTCGCAGGTTAATTCGAACAAAAAACAATTATTTCTCTTTTTGTTAATATCATATCGAATACATATGTGTTCGATGTTATACTACACCATTCGTGTACGTGATTCAGAATGCATTTCCGTTTTTGTAAGAGAAAAAAGAGAGAAAAAACACCTTTAGTTGGAGGAACTTTATGTGTGCTATACCATTAGCTTTCATTCATTTCGTTTCTTCAATGATATTTATGTATTATTTAAGGTATCTGTCTTTATTAAGCTACAGATTTCTAATTCACTTTACTTATTCTCCTCTATGTGTTAAGGTTATAATTTTATAAACTTGGTAGTTGCATCGTTCTTGAGTTTGTTATTTTTTTTAATTGCGCTGGCTCGTGATGCATTCATGTTTACTTTCTTATATATATCCCAGGAGAAGAATGATACTTTGCTTGTTTAAATAATGATATTAAGATTCTGTGATGGTCTGCTTTCCACGCACAAACCATATTCAGGGTGCTGCAATATTGCTGCCATGTTGTGTTATAGGAAAGATACAGAGAGAAAGAGAAAGGATAAGAGCGGTGGTTACTTTGTTTATTCATATTTTTTGTTTGTTATCAACGTTATCTGCTCAATCAAATACAGTTTGTTCGATAAAGATCGCTCAGTGGGATTCAGATGGAGACTTTAATAGATATTCTGTGTTGCACGTGTTTCTCCTGATCTCGGTACTTTTGTGTATTTTTGTTCACCCTCTTTTTTTTATTGCTTTTCCTCTTTTTTTTAAACCGAAAAGCTTTTGAATCAGAAATAATTTTTCAGTTATTCATCTTGAATTCATGTTTTCATTATAGCCCTGCTCTGACCTCTCTATTTCTTTTCTATAGTGTATATGAAAACTACCTAATATTAAACGATGCCTGTTTCTGAAGCTTTCTATTTGTTCTATGGTGCTTCCTATGGCATTCAAATGACTTTCTCTTCAAGTAATGCTGTCATAATTTACATCATTCTATTAATGAGTATTCATTTATCGCAAAAAATACATTTCTTAGGTTTACTGTTTATAATTAAACTTACAGTTTTCCAGTTAGATTGTGAGGGTTCGTGCTCTATCCTTCCATTTTCCTTGTTTATCTGATTTATGTAAAAGAAAACCATTTGTAAGGAATTCATTAGCCACAGCTGGTACAAAATACTTCTTAGTCTCTCTAATGCCTACACACACAATATGCTTTTATACAGGAAGAAATCCTATCACAGTCATATTTATTATTGATCTTGTTACTGACTCGTTTTCTGGTAAGTTGTTTATTTTTTGAACTATTTATTAAGAAAAAATGCATGTTTATCCATGCAAAATTGACAAAAAACGTCTTCATTGTCATGAAATTTTTGTATGTCGGATAAAGGCAAATATTTTCCTAGTGTGTGCTTTTATTCGCTGTATGCTTTTATTACTGTTATTCACTTAATACTGTTATTTTAGATTTCTCACTTGTCATTAATATTTAAAAGCTAAAATCGTAATATTCCCTTGTCTAAAATTAGATAATATGATAAACTGGCTTTTGGCATTCGGCAGAAAAGTATATTTAAAAACTAAAACAATGCGATTACTTCGTCTTGTTACTTTTAACAGCCATTTTGTAAAACACAAAAGATTTTAAAATATTTTATCACTGGATATCGTCAGTAACTTTCTCTCTCCTCTTTGCTTTCCTCCTTTCCAGTATATACTTAGAGTTGTTTCCCTTGTGTTGTTTCTTCGATTCTCGCTTAGATTGATAATCATTGTGTATGTCTTTAGTTTTAAACTTTCCTTCTGGTATGAAGAAGCCCTCTCCTAGTTCAATTGTTTGTTTTTGTTATTCTGGGTATGTTTCATTTTTCTCAGCTTCAGACTATTGTAATTGCCTCACACCTGACTGGTTTGTGATTGTCACGTCAATCTCTGTAGACAGCTGTTTGTATGTTTGTTATACAAAGAATGTATCAGATTGGTATTATAGCATTTTTATCCTTTCTATTTCCACTTTTCTTACATAATATTATATCAGTACCCGTGTTTAGGATGTGGAGAACCAGTTAAATATTTACCCAATGTTACATTTATTCTTGTCTTGGACTAATATGTTCCTCACTTAATCCTACTCTGATAATTATCTACCTTATTTACTAATCTGTCTATCGAGTTTCTCGTTTCAATGTGCAATAACCACCTTTTTCGTTTGGTTATTTTTTGTTTGTTTGGTTTTTTATATCTACAAAAATTTCAGTCGATTTTTATTTTTAGTTGTCACTGCCTACTTGTTATTATTACTATTATTATTAGTACTATTATCGATCGCATGCGAGGTTTATTTTGTTTTTGTTTTTTCTACGGACTTTTCATCTGGTTTAGCCACACAACTCAGCTATTTTTATATCAGTTGATTTACAATACACATATATCCATATTTTTCTGTACTATGAGTAATAATAATAATAATATTGTTACTACGATGATTGTTGTTCCCCAACCACTAATATCTCACTGTTATCTATCGTCTTCAATCTGACGTTCCTAGGTCATATTCATATCTCTTGAAGCTTAAATCTTAATTATTTATTTTCTCTCTAGTTTTGTCTACTGTTTTCTTTGTTTTTTACTGTTGTCTTTGTTGTTGTGGTTGTTTATTCTAGAATTATATTTGCTCATTATCATTTTACATGCACATTTTGTTTACATTTACGAGCTAAACATTTTTACTATTATGAAAAGTTCTACATGTACACTCATCAGTTTTCGTTTTTCAAGCGGTTTACCTGTTGTGTGTATCGTTGCTGGTGCTTGTTGTCATCGTAATTCATTAGTACTCATAATTCAGCCGGTTTCGTTTGAATTTATTCAATTCTGATTCTATCCCGAGACTAAAATGAACAATAATTATTGTTTCATTTTTTGTTCTTTCTCAACATAATATTCTCTCTTCTATGCCTATCGTATTATCACTGTTATACATTATAATTATATCGAGTGGAAATTTCATTTTGACAAATTACGGTTGGAGCTTTTAGCGCTCATTCACTCCTTACACAAATTCTTACTCTCTATCTTTCATTGTTTTTTTAAAGGTTACCTTAGTTCCCACTATTGTACTGTTCAGTATTGAAATTAACATCAAATATTATAATAAAGAAAAAACACAAAATTGGTGATATTTAGTTTTAGTGTTTCAAGACGTGTGTATCGTAGTACTTTGTAGAATATGCCCAATTTTCCTGTTACCATTGTCAAATAAAAAATTAGTCCTGCCAATCAGACCACTATCGAGTATGAGAGACCGCATCCTTTGTATTGTGACCAGTTTTGCAACCAGTTGTATTCTAACCGTTTGATATATGACTTATTTCATTTCAAGTCAGTTAGTATCAACGTGGGACCTGTCACAGCTTCAAATGGTCTACCGTCAGTCTTTTTTGGTAATTATCCGCTTTTTCATCAAGGTGATCGAGGAAAAGTTTTTTATGCACAATCCT